TCTCCGCAGCCTCTGTGTCTTGCGGATCGTCCTGATGGTATTTTATCCAGTCCAGCACCATGCGCAAAATGGCGCCGGTAATGTTCGAGAGCACAACGGGCTTGCCATCGTCCACTAACCAGCTGCTCTGGAGCATAGTGCGTAGGACTTTTGAAAAATTGACTACCTTCACGTCAACAACGAAGACTTCGCCATCAGAGGACTCCAGCGCAATTCCCTGCATCTTGATTTTTCAATTTTCAGAAGAATTTAGGCACAATACGAAAATTGAATGTGAATTATGCTGGACTCTATTTGACAACTGAATAATTTCTTTGCCTTTCTATTCTGACAGCCCTATGACATTCGACTGTAAAGGAACAATTTGGCTAGACTGGACAACCAAGCAACAACTGACTTTTATGCTTGGTCCAAAAATGTTAAGGAAACGTGCTCTTCGTAAAAACCCGAAAATGTCGGAGTTTGGCAGTCTCGCAGAAGCCATCGAAAGCTAGACAGAACTGCGTATAGCTCGATCGTAAGGAGTGCCTCCTCCGCCATTTTCGGAGCCCACGGCCAGAGTACTTAACCTATAATAGGAGTGGGGTTACGATGGCACGTCGATCGAGAGCATTCCGTTCGATGGCGGTGTCGCACTGTCTATACCCAATGGACCGATGGAGAATCTATTTGGCATCAAGTGCTCAGATAATTTTCTGAACCGCCATTGACTGCGATCATACGTTCTGTAGCGTTGGAGAGGTGGTGACTCAGCTGATGAGTCTGGGTGAGCAGGTGTCCTCTATTCGAGGCATTCTTTCCGGCATACGTTGGAGTGCTTGCAGCCCATGGACCAAGGAACCAATTGGTATAGATAATGGGCGACTGTCGCCTTCATAAATTCACTGGTGCTGCCAGTATTGGTCCAATCTTCACTGTCTTGAAGAGCATGCAAATGGAGAAGGAGGCCACGCGGGCTATGATGAGTACCCTGTGGGTGTCCGCTGAGGCCCACACATTCAAGGAAGTGACAACTGTATTGGAAGTTTTGGCGTTTTCCGACTGGACCTAAAATAAATCCGAACTCGTAGGGCTGACCAAGGAATATGGTTTCACTATACCAACTAGGGTCCTTCGAAAATCGTTGCTCCACCCCCAGGTGGTGAGACATGGAAGATAGCAGCTGTGCCGTTCTTGGCCATCTTGGCACTGATTAAAATCATTAAAAACTCGAATACCAGGTTTGATGCCTAAATGTGCTGAACATATAAAAATTAATAGTTTCTTGTCATATATAGAGGCATTGATTACGACGTTATGCCCAGTGTATGCCCAGATCTTCCTTTGCTGGCCGTTCTTTTTGTACTCGTGTTAGTGAGAGAGTGCCCGTGTGAGAGGACAGAGCTGGACAATAAGGGAGCTGGTGTCAAAAGTTGTCCGCGATGTGGTTGAGTGCAAATGTGTGAACCATATGTATCTTCCCTTGAATTCTGTTGTCTACACATTTGGCAAGGGAAAAGAGAGGCTACAGGCTTCCGGCTTGACCGTTTGACCTTGAATCAAGGAATACGTTGTTTATAATTAAGCAATAATATCCTTTAAAATTCCTGTCAATTTCTATTCATTCTCAGCTTCAACGTCTAACTTATGACCCAACAATTAGTTACATATTTTTCCAATCGATCTCAGACTCGAACTCGAACAAATGCTTTCAAATAATTCTCACTACTCAATTAATTGCTAAACTATTTCTCATTCACTGAAAAGTTCTACAACTTTTGCACTGGGTTTTCTTTTTTTCATTCGGTTTTTCTGATATTTTAATCCCTTCTTCGTTTTCGTTTCCTTTTCTCCTACTGTTCGCCCAACTGTGAATGATTTCACTTAACGCTCTCCGGATAGAAAGAACAACAATGTTATCATTTAATACTTATTTTTTCCTGTCATTTAATTTCTTTTGCACTTCTTTCTGGTTTTCTTTCGCCTTTGATGCTGCTGCGGATAGAAAGGAGACTGCCACTGCGACAGCGGGATACTGTTGTTTCCTCTCAGAATCCGACCCGGTTTTATGGTTCTTTGTTTTCGCGCCAAATGCTTGGAACGCGCTGCCAAATAGAAAATCATCATAATTTCCCTTTATTACCAGAGTTTTTACCCATTTGCCAGAGTAGTTGTTGTATGCTTTTTATGGACAAACTTCCACTGAACTGATGCCTTTGTTGTTGCTGTTCTGGTTGTTGCTTTAATTGCCATTGTCGTGGCTCTCCCTTCTTATAGCCGTTGTCATTGTTTGTCACAGTCTGTTCCACTCAGACCCCAACACCCCCCGAGCCGATCCGACACACCCCCCCCCCCCCCCCCCCCCCCCCCCCCCCCCCCCCCCCCCCCCCCCCCCCCAACCCCCCACTCGATCCACTCATCTCATCGGGATCCAGGGCGTAGGGAGGAGGGCTCTGGGTGGCAAAAAAAAAAAAAAATAACTTTGTCGGAAACTCCTTTGATTTGTTTTCTGCACAACAGTAAAAACTTTGCGGACCCAAAGTTCTTTTTTTCGGTAGACTCCCCTCCCCACCCTCCCAGACAGGAGAGTGGTGTGTGTTCGATGCTGCTGAACTTTTCAAGACAAAACATTTTTGAGTTATTAATGAAAAGTTGTTGTTGTTGTCTATCCGGGCTGTACGAGTACGAGGACATACAGGTGCAGGGCGGAGGTGAGATGGGGGCCAGGACGGAGCTTCAGTTTATATAGCAAATACAAGTGCTAACTAAATGTTATGCTTTCATTATGCTCAGTAGCTTTCACAAAAGTTTCCAGGAGAAGTTCTTCGGGCAAGTATTCTCCTCTCCCTCTTGCACTGTGCCCTCTCTGCCCCACACCATCCCCCTGGATATTGGCTTAACTAATTTTTTCCCCTGGTCTGTTCTGTTCTGTTAAGTTATATTCTATTGTCTATGGGGTACTATTATTCCGAAGAGCTGTTTGCATGGCAGAGAATGCAGCAGAATGGACTTTTGTATAGTGTTAATCAAACGATCTATTCGATTGTTAATCACCAAACTGTTCTATAGACCTAACAGTTAGAGTATCTATATAGGATATATCACTTTCTCTCTTGTTTGAGTTGAATTTCCTTGAGGTGTACACACAGACACGCATTTGTGTGTTTGCCTAAAGTGCACTTTTTAACTAACTTGTCTAACGCAACTAATGAAAAGATTTGTTATTAGTTTTGGTCCAAAGCAGCACTCGAAGCGGGCGCAAAAAGTGGCAGCAGCAGTAGCAGCAGGTAACTTTGCCCAGGGAATTATACATAAACATTGCACCAAAACCAAAACCAAAGCAAACCAAACCAAACACATGGCAGGGGAAAAAAAATACGCAACTTGAAAAAGTAAATAAATATTTGAACAACTTCTTATGGCCAACTATTTGTTTGGCAGGCGAAAAGAACAAGTTTCTGGAGGAGAACCCAAGGTAAGTTCCTAGGGAGGGGGAGGGGGTATGTGTGCAACTTTCGAAGCTATTATGTGAAAGTTTTATTTTTCATTGTCCACGGCCCTGGGTCTGGTCTGTCCAATCGACAAGTTTTTCCTCTTGGCTTGGCATAGGTTAGGGCTAAAGGAAGGAATTGGATTGGCAAATTGTTCAGCACATCATTTCAGAGGCAATTTAACAAACTAAATTCCAGGGAATTCTTTGTTCTTTAAGAAGAATGTTTATCTCTTCAAGTTGGTGATTACTCCATCGCTTTATTGCTCTCAATACCATTTACTGGAGATCGATTCCAAGCTGGCCAAACCTGTTTCCATGCCTCGATGAATGAATGAATTTGGGCATATGCCACACTTCTGGGGGTTTGCTTTAAACTAAATTGTTTCAGATGTCCAAACGATTTGCTTAATATATTAATAAAAGCCCATTCAAAGTCTTGTTCGAGCAGTCTTTAGTGAGACTAAATATGGCCATAACCAAAGGCAGACTCTGGCCATTGTTCGGCCCACAATTGGCATATTAAATTACCGATTTTGTAGAGATTTGATTTTCGATTTAACATAACATCCACTGGCCACTAGCTGCTATTTTTAGCCTTTGGTTATCTGAACAGATAATTAAGTCGGCTCTGAGCCGCTGCTGTCTCTTAGCTGATTGATTGACTTTATCGGGCCGCTTGCGAGGAGGGGCCTTATCAACACTCTGCTGGAGTCAATCTTTTTGGCCTGGCCCCGTCCGGGCCGGGCCGGGCCTATCTAGATGCAGCCACAAAATGCATAAAAGACGTATCTCAGACTACACAAAAAATCACAGGCACAGGCACAGGCACAGAACCACAAGGAGGCCACGCAGGCAAGAGTCTCCTCCGAGTCTCCGATCCAAACGGGTTTTTGAACGGCAATCGTGTAGGCCGTGGAGTGCCATCTTTATGGACAGGTTGAGACAACTTCCTGTGTCTTGGTGTCCCTTCCCCTCTCCTACCCACTGATTGGACTGGCGGGGTTGAGCTAGTTGATCGACAGACAGTTCAACACGAAAACGAAACCCAAAAGGATGACACACACAATTTTATGGTATTTTATAATAATTAGTTCTCTTTTATTGGCAGATAAAAATGTTGCCTAAAACAAAGTTAACAAAAGTGTAGAGTGTTTTTGTTTTAAGACTGATTTAATCATGTCTTGTCTCAAGAATATTTTTATTTTACTTTACAGAATGCCATGCCAGGGTATAAACAAGTAAAAATATGCTTATCAATATTGTTTTTATCAATGTTTTACACGTTAGAGTTTAGGCCTACAATGCCATAAATCGACATATAATATTTGCAATAAATTACGCTTTTAATTATGTTTTATCACGTTTGAATGGTGGCTTTATTCGTATAAATAATTAGTAGATTATATTTATGAATAACAAAATTGGAGATAGTTATACCCGGTACTCAAAATGAGTATAGATAGGGGTATATTAGATTAGATGTGTGTATCGTCCAGAAGGAAGCGTTTCCGATCCCATAAAGTATATACATATATATCTCCCTGATCAGCATCAAAAGCCACGTCGATATAGCCATGTCTGACTGTCCGTCTGGCGGTCCCGATCAGCGCCTAAATCTCAGGGACCATAAGAGCTCTAGAAACTAAATGTTGTATCCAGTATCCAGCTTATAATTATAGGGAATAACCGTATATATCAGATTGATGAACCTGGATGAGATCTGATCAAACGTTTCCCCTCGTTTTTAATTTAATGCACTTATTATAGTGGAACATTATGGAATTCATTTCTTTGAGCCGCAATCAAGCACACAACTCCCGCCAGCAGTCGTAAATGTATCTGAAGGGTTGTCACTTCTTCAAAGAAATACAATCCCAATCCCGGACATCTGCATCTCTCCAGCTGTTTGCGACCACCCGCTGTCCGTTGTATCTGATGTCTGACAAACTGTCGTACAAGTTCTGTGGCGTCTGCGAAATACCCAATAAAATAAAACAAATATAATTCGAATGTCCAGCGCACACTATACATACTATGTATGTTTGTATGTATGTATGTATGTAAAATATGATTAATAGCGAGAGTTTACAAGCAAAGATATGGCTATGAATGTGTGAAAATGAATTATTTATGATATTACATACAAATCAAAGCCACGCGAAAGGCATTTCAAAATTACAATTATTGCATTTAATACATACCTTTTTTTTTGTGGCGTTCATTACCCGCTCATCAATTTGTAATTGGATCCGTAATATGTATTCCAATCAATAATAAAAGGGAAAAACTCTACTGTACTGAAAAAATTCTCTTGTTTGCTGAAAAACTCATTGTTAAATGCTGTAAAAAGAATTTATATTTATAGCTGAAATGATTTGTGTGAATTATTGAAGCTGGAAAATGCTGAAAAAAGAATGCTGGAAAATCGATGGATTAATTATGATTTGCTGCTGCCGCTGCTTCTGCTGCTCCCACGTTGAAGTCCAGATCCAGAAACCAAAACCAAACCAAACTACAACAAATGCCCGGAACGCCTGCGAAAAGAGTTTGGAGTAGAAGAAAAGTCTGGCTAAAAGAGCCAGGATTAAACAAGGAAGTGGGCTGGGGCTAGGGCTGGGGCTGGGATTGGGGGAATTGGGAGTTGGTTTCGACTCGTCGCCACTTGGGGATTGGTGGCAAAAAAAGAAGAGGTAAACTCTCAAAAAAATATATATATAGATGGAGGGAAAAGGAGCTGTGAACACGCACACTTAAGTCCACACAAAAGTACGGAAAAGTAGGAAAATACTCAGCAAAAGAGCCAAAGAGCGCGCCATGGCCACAGCTCCATGCGCCATGCTCCATGCTCCATGCTCCGTGCTCCGTGGCCAGGTGAAAATGGATTCTGAAAATTGGGTTAATTGATGCTTAGTGTTTTGCTTCTGTGTGAATGGAGGAGGAGGTGGTCGGGCCAAGGGTCGTGGGCGTGGGCGTGGTTATTTAGCGCCAAGTAGCTAATAGTTTTTGCCGCCCGGCGAACCCTTTCCCTGCTTTTGCTCTTGCTTTTGCCAAGCGGAAACGGAAACGGGTAATGCACACACACAATACACAAATGCCAAAATGGCGGCGTCGTCGTCAAGGGGGGCTGGGAATGGGAATGGGAATGGTAATGGGACTGTGGCTAGGGGTTAGGGGTTAGGGGTTAAGCTATACGCCATACACTACATTGCAATTAGCATTATATATCCAATGTCGAATTATACACACCGGGACTGCCCAATTCCGTGAGATTGGCACTCAGTGTGCCACCCGCTGGTCCGCCATTGAGGCTGTTGCTCCCTGCCGCACCTCCGGGAGCACCAGCACCAGCGCTGACTCCTCCGCCAGCGACAGTACCGCCAGCAATAGCACCAGCACCACCGCTGGCCGCTGGATCCACCGCCTGGCAGTGGAGCAGCGGCACCAGCAACAGTTGGAGGAACAGCAACCCCATCCGCATCGATGCCACTCTAAGCGTCGTCGTTCGCCTCATTTTACAATTTGGTATCTTGGCTATGTGTCTGTTGTACGAGTATTCCAGCACCGGCATCAACATGGTCCATCGGTTGTTGCTGGGCGGCGGCTCCTTGGCTCCTCCTCTCCTCTCCGATGGCTCCGCTAATTGTGGACGATGCTCTGCAAGAGTCACGGGTAGGTGGGGGTTAGGGGTAAAATTCGTTAATGAACTGACTTTTGGTCTAAAATGTAATTGTAAATGTAATTTTAGCTTTTGCTTTGGCATTGGCATGGCGTCGGTTTCGTTTTCGTTTTCGGTGAAAAGTATCTGACAGACAGCAAATTAGATTTAGTTAAAGTTCCTGTTGCACTGCACACACATTTTCAGGCATTTCTCTCACAGATCCAAACGTATTTGCTGGATGAAAAAGTATCTTATGGATATAAATCCGTTCACACAATGTTTATTTCACAGCAAAAAGTTTTTTTTCAAATTGTTTTTTAGTTTATCTCACCGATACTAAAGTATCCAACAGTTAAATATTTATTTCATAGATAAAAATATATCTGACAATATGGATTATTTTTTATTAAATTTGGTTCACTGTTTAATTACAATTTTCCCAAAGATACAAATGTATCCAACAGCTAATAATTTATTTTATAGATACAAATGTATCTCACTGTATGGACTTTATAGAAGCGTAGCTTTTTGTTCACTGTTTTATTGAATTAAAGATAGACATGTATCTACTAGTTAAATATTTATTTTATAGATACAAAGGTATCTCACAATATGGATTTTATAGAAGCCTAGGCTTTTATTAAATTTATTCACTATTTTATTCCACAGGTATCTTCCACTAGAATATTTATTTTAAAGATACAAATGTATCTGACAATATGGATTTTATTAAATTTTGTTTACTGTTTTATTGCATTTTTCACAATGATACAAATGTATCTGCTAGTTAAATATTTATTTTATAGATACAGATGTATCTCACAATATGAATTTTATTGTTTTATTGCATTTTTCCTAAATGTATCTAAATGAGAAAAATATATTTCATAGATACCAATGTATTTAACATTTAAATGTATCTCACTTGTTGTTTATGTTAGAATCTCACAAGCACAAAAGTATCTTGTAAGCACACGAATGTATCTCACATCTGCAAATATGCATCTGCCCGCAACAGTTGCAATTAATGTTCTCTGTTTATTTTTTAGTTTTTTTTGTAGTTTATGGCTGCTTGCACAGTGTTTGCTGTGGCAAATGTATCTTGCAGATACCAGAATGTATCTCAATGCATACTCCTCGGGGATGGGCTGCAATTAAAGTTCTTTGCCAGCAGTCTCCACCGTTTACACGACATCTGCTCGGCGCAGATACTCGGTACATACGGATACAACCATACAAGACAGAATGTATCTCGTCCGTGCATCAAATTACACATTTGGCATATAAATTGCTCAATTTCATGTATGTATTTTGTGCCTTGTGTCAAATTGTCATTACACCGCTCACGATACGCGGCACAGACCGACAGGCACACCCCTCGGTTTGCGCTAATGTATCTTGCAGATACAATTGCTGAAATTGCACTTTTAGCACTTGGCCACGAAATGGGGAACGATGCGAGGCGTTCTCCCGTATCTTCCTTGAAGTAATTTCTGTTTTTGTTATGCCCGCTTTTCCGCTTCGAATGCGCAGAGATACTCCCGGGGTATCTGCTCCTCTCAAAATGTATCTGTTGGTGTGTGTGTGTGCGTTCTTTTTATGGTTTTTAGTGCCTTTTCATGGGCTTTAAATTATCGATTTGTTTATAACATTTTGCACACGCCAACACTCCCACAAGTAACACCTTGTCGTCGCCTGTTTCTGTATCTTTCTCTCTCTCAGCGTGTATCTTTTGCTTGCTATTTATGCATTGCACTTGTGCCACAACTGTCTCTGGGCTAAGGGCTTTTCCCTTACGCTTTTCCTTGTGTGTTACTTTTTTTTTTGTTACATTTATAAATGGTTTAGAGCACATGTGGCACACGCACAGCTGCGGCTACAATTTGTAACTGTAGAGCATTTATAAACGACGGAGACGGAGACCGAAACCGAGACTCGTTCCTCTGGTTCCTGGCTCCTGCCTGTGCAGGTCCCTGGGTGCGATGGTCCTTCAAATGTTTACACACGCTCAAGAACTTTTTGTTGGTCGTCAACAAACCATCAAGCATTTCGCCTTTTGCTTATCAGCCAGCCATCCAGCGCGAGATACACTCGTCGTAGCCGGCGTTTCCTTTCGATACGGGTTACGGGTTACGGGATACGGTATACGGTCTGTGGTCCGTGGTCTGTGGTCTGGCCCCGACTTGAGCTCCAGCTCCAGCTCCAGCTCGAGCTCCGGTTCGTATTTGATTTACCCTCTCGGAAAACGTGCTCGCATGCGGTCTGGTTGAATTTTCCTCGCTCGCTTTTGTTGTTTCAGTCAATTGCCGCATTTTAAAAACGCATAAAATTGCTTTATGTTTGCCTTTCCATTTTCCCCCTGGCAGCTGAGTATCTGAGCAGAGTATCTTTAGCTCTTGTTCCTTTTTTGGGCTTATCCCCGGGCGTAAATTTATGCAAGGCGCCTTAGTTCGGGGCGCACATGACAGACGCGTTGGCGTGTTCCTTTAGGTTTCCTCTTCAGCCTCGAGGAAAACTGCATACAGCTGCATGCAGCTCTACGGCTCTACGGCTCTTCGGGTATCTCTGTGTGTTCTGGTATCTGGTATCTGTCCCTCTGGGCATTCCGTCTCCAGGGTAAGTATCTGTAAGTGGTGCATAAGTGGCACACACAGATAGAGGGAGAGGGAGAGAGAGAGGTAGAGAAAGAAATGTTATTGATGATTTATTTGCATTTGGCATTGATATATGCTAATGTTTTCCCCGTGACTGCCTTTGTCTCTCTCATGAAACAAAAACAAAACCAAACCGAACCGAATGGAACCGAAAAAAAAAAAAAAATGGTTACTCACGGTTCCCCCTGGATGCACAGATGCATGCACCATGGATTATGTTATCTCTTGCCCGAAATGCCTGTCTGTTGGCTTTTCAATTTTTCATGTCCGTCCACGGCAGAAGACAGGAAATTATTATGGTTTTGTTGTTGTTGTTGTTCCTTTCTTAAAGTCATTTTTATTTGCATTTCGTGATTTCGAAGAGACAGACAGACAGATAAACCCGAAGAGACCTCCTCGACAGAGCACAGCAAATGGAACTCTGTGTCAACTCAAATATTTGATTTAATTCCCTGACATAATAATTAATCACTCTGCACCTTTTACGGCGGAGCCATGTCTAACCCCAAGGCGGACTACTGGACTCTCAGACTCTTTTCTCGCTTATTTGTTTATAATTAAATATTATTTGGCAGTCGGTCCCCCGACTCTCGTTTCCACAAATGAGACGCGAGTGGCATTTATCAGTCATTCACTTAAGATTCGTTCTGTTTTCCGTTTCTTTTGTTTAATGAGTTACAAATTTGGTTTTTCAGTTGTTTAATGCCTGACAGCATTATAGATTAGTGGCCGAAAGTTTTTCTAGCTCCCTGCCCAGCTCTCTTTTTCGTCTTTTTCCATCATTTACATGATCTGGGAACTGTTTTGCCCGGCGGCTGTTTCTGTCGTCTGTCTGTCGCCGCCGTCCCTCCGTGCCTCCGTGTCGTATCTGGCTACTTGGTGGGTCTCCGGTCTCGGGGTCTGCCTCACTAATGTGCTCGCTTGATGTGTATTTTTCTGGGCTAATAGTCTCTGAGCTGGCGGCGTCATTGGGCAGCATCGGTCGTTGGGTATTTGTGTTAATTGTATGCTCGTTATGAATGTTCGTTGGCATTTTAAATTATTGCACAGATTATACTTAGAAAGGCGCTCCACTCCACTCTCTTCACTCCCAAAAAAAACAGACACAAATATCTCATCTTAATTTATTGATTGTTGTTTTTTGTGGCAACTATTTTCTCAGGTGTTGCGGCAGAAACTTGGGGGATTTATTGGTTTTTTTTACGAGGAGTTTGGAAGAGATTTTATTGGGAAATCTGCAGCGACTATTTGAAGTAGATTCCAATTTTAATCTTTTTCTAAATTATATTTCCTGTAGAACCCAATTTCAATCTTAAAATCGAAAAGTTAAGATTCCACCTTCATTCACTTGTCATTCAACTGCCGTTCTGACAGTTACAATCATCTTAATAGACACCGAAACGGATACAGATAGATACAGCTGCCATATTTGGTTAATTTACCCAAAGAAAATCTCCCGAAAGTTCTCCACTTTGGCTCAACTCTTCTTTCGCTCCCTCTCCCTGATTAGCATATTGGGTAGAAGAAGTTCTGGCACTTCTATTCGCATTCGCAGTCCTACTAAGAGATTGCCTCATTCTACATATATTAAAAATTCATACACTCGACTGGCGGGGCAGGGCGGGCAGGCAGGGGCCTTGAGATACATTTGAAATTCAAGTGCCACGGCACACGCGCATCGCTAAAAGTGTCAAATTGGCAAAAGTGGACTCCGGGAACACCGGGAATGGTGTGGCAGGGGCAGGCCAAAGCGAGAAACAAACAGAAACAGAGAGAAATGGAATATTCTAAAACAAACTTTGGAGGCCTACTGGAGGCACAAGTGCTGCGTGGAGGAGTGTGTGCGTGTGTGTGTGTGTGTGGAGTCTATAAGAAATTGATATCATTTATCAAACTGACACATACAGTGAGAAGAGCGTGGGGCAGGCAGGCAGGCAGGCAGACAGCAGTGCCACCAGAAGCTGGAGCTGGAGCTGTCGCTGAAGCGAATCTTTTCTTTAGGAAACTTTTGCAAATGAGGCAGCAGTCAGCAAACGGCACATAAATAAACAGCAGCAGAGAGGTCTCTGGTCTGGGGAGGCGTGGCATACGCCTAATTGAATTCAGCTTTCAAGAGTAAGCGAGAAAGGCATTAATAATCAGGAGTGGAGATCGTCGTTGTTCTGCCACAAAATTAGTTCATTAAAGAAGTTCAGACTCGATTTGCATATCGCCCCAAAACCCCGCACCCCCGCACCCCCATCATCAAATATAAAGAAAAGTATGACCGAAAAAACCTCAAAAATACAAAAAAAAAAAAAAAACAAGAAAAAGAAATGAAAGAAATGTAAATTAAAGTAAACAATCCAAAGAGCTATTCAAATTGTTTTTTCCACCCTCCAAAAAAAAAAAAAAAAAACTTCCAATTGCCAAAAACTTCAAAAGTCAGCAACATGCAACATGAATATCAAAATCGACGGGGAAAGAGAGCCATAAAAAAGATATAGGGAGGGGCTCGAGAGCGTATGAAAAAGAGTGTTTGTGTTTGTATTTTCATGGAAAACGAGTGCAGCAGGGGCAGCGGCAGCAAATCAATGCCCCCAACAATAACCCCAGCGGAAGCCCAGCGCCCAGGAACGGCAAAACATTGGGGCAACACTGGCATGAGGAGCTGTGCGTGTCAGGGCCAACATCAGAGAGCACCAGCGACAGACAGAGAGAGAGAAAAGGCACACAAAAAAATACTCGTACTCGTACTCGTACTCGTACAAATAATTCCGGGAAGCCCTTAGCGATCAGCGGCCCCGCGCACTTGTAATAAAAAATATTTTCAATAATAAAGTGTATTAAGTTGTGAAGTGCACAGGCACACCAACGCTCAGACACACAGATACTCCTCGTGCACACACTCGCAAGTGAAAATAAATGAAATGTGAACCATGGAAAAGCTTCGAAAAGCAATAAGTGTGGAAAATATTCGTTGCCTTCGTTCTGCATTTTTTTTTGTACTCTTCGAAGAGGGTATTCAGCGTTTGAAAAGAGGGTTTGCCCTGAAGATACACAAAGTGAGGCATCAATGGGCCTCGTCATGCACACGACATGTATTTTTCGGCCCCACAGGCATCCCACATATTTTGTTTTTGCACTCTCGGGCTTTCCCTTTTGCACTCTTTGCTGATGGTGTGTTTAAACAGGATTCGGTGTACGATCCCGATATAAAAGTTTCAGTGTATTTCCTTCCATCTCATCATTGGCAAAGTTTCAGCCAAATTAAAATACATTCCATACATAAAATAATTAAGATCATATGTATTTTTTTGGAGTAAAATCTCCCTTTTGTCTCCAGGGATATTCCATATCGATATTCGAACAATTAAGTGTATCTCAAGCTTCGTTTTTGGAAACTCAAATTTTCTTTCTTTATTTTTTTATATTATTCACAAAACAAAGAAAAAATATGAGAAATATAAATGAATGTCGAGTGAACTTGCCTCTGCATGAGAGTTGCGTGTAAATATAAATATTTTTTCCATACAAACACAAGAGTGGAGTAGAGAGTCCATTGGAGGAGGATATTGGTTTGGTGGGGAGTGGGAGTGGGGTGGGGAGTGGGGTGGGGCAGATGTAACACACATTCCATGGAGACAACTTTGGTTTGTTGATTCTACGAATACGAGCGCGAGTACCGAACGAATAAACGAATAAACGAAACACCCAACGCATGAATGTGTCAATGGCTCAAAAACGATTTATACAGCATATTAAATTCTGACATCAATGTTTGATTGTCCGTACATGAAAAGTAAAAAAGTAATAAAAAGGAAAAACCGAACAAAAATCGAATCAGAAATACAAAGAAGAAGTGTGGCATGCGGCATGCGGCATGGCGGCCTAGCGGCTTGGCGGCATCTAAAATAGATTTATTTATACGATTTTTAACAGTACTTGGCGCGGCTCTTGAGGCCTCCACTCTTGAAATCGAAACTCATTTAAGTTTTTTTCCCGCGTTTTTTTTTTCAAGTTTGATTGAAGTGTATCTCGGGCGTTGGGTTTTTGTGTTGTATGTAGTTTCACATTTAAAGAGATTACATTGAAATTGAAGTGGTTGCGGGGCACAAAAAGCTGCACTACAATCGGAGTGCGCACCTTTTGATGGGGGTTTCCCCTCCATCGCTCCATCGCTCCCTGCACTCCCTGCACCACTCTGCTGCCTGACCTGCGGCTTATTGTTGAATATACCAAGGCGAATTGGATTTACTTTTACCCTCTTTTGCCGCTTGCTTCCTCAACGCAGAGGTTGATGCATGGCAAAGGGGATTAGAACGGTTCCGAGCAGCCCACACACACACATGCCCCTGCCGCATGCCCCTGCCCCATGCTCTAAAGGGGAATGCCTTGGGGGATTTTCGGCTACGCAGCAAGAAG